CGGAAAACGAAAAATCAGATGGTTCCCTTATCCCCTTGGATATGAACCCGAAAACCCTAATCATCGCAGCTCTCCAGCAGCTCCCGATGTTCTACTTCCGGTAACTCTCTCACTCATCCTTTCTCGATGTTTCCAGAAAAAAAGGAAAAAGAAAAAGAAAACATGCTTCTAGAATCAGATTCTCAGTTTCACTACTAAGCCGATTTCTATCGCTTTGTTTTCATCCTCCACCAGTTTTTATGCTCTCTGCTACTTCCATCTCCTATTTCTAAAAACATGATGACTTCATCTTCTCTGTTTCCACCTACTCCGTTTGGTTTGGATTAAAAGTTCATTTTTAGTAATTTCTCGAAAAATATTTTCATTCCTTTCAGCTCAGTTTGTTTTTAGAGTGATCAGGAATCCATGTGCTTGGAATTTAGTTTTTTAGAAAAAAAGTACGAAACATCTTTGTTTGGAAAGTCGACGCTTTTCTTTGTTTTTTTCGATTTTTCGTGGGGGTTTGCGAATTACTGCTATCAGTGCCGTGAACCCTTTCCAAACTTGTGGTATACGGAGTTAGCTGGGCGGGTGCTAAATTTGCTGCTTTTTTCTTTACCGTATAAGTCAATTGCTACAGATGATTGAAATTCATCTAAGAATCATACAAATAATATTGCCTTTCTGGACCTACTTTGAGTTTCTCCGTTTCAATTTTTGGGCATTTTGCTTCTGCTTAATTCAACATGATAGAAATTTGAGGCTTTTTTATTTGAACTATCATATGTAGGACTCAAAAATTAAACTACTTTTTTTTGGGAGGTATAATTTCTTGTTTTGATCTCTGAAGGAGCATAAGTTTTTTTCTTTAATTTGATTTAATTCAACTTACTGCTTATAAGGGTATCCTTAGTTACTAATTGCTTGTTTAGTTGTGTGCTTATTTATATTTGTGGTGGTTCTTTCAGGGGAATGTTTCAACAAGTCAAAGCATTCCATTTTTTGGTGGTCCTGTTATGTACATATTTTTGCCTCACTACCTGTGAACCATGCTCCACGAATGGGATGCTGATATCAGCGGAATATGATGGATGTGATTCCTATGGAGATGATCATGGGGTGAGGTTTCAAGAAATCGTTGTTGGCGATACTAGTACGGGTTACATTAGTGGGTCTCCAAGGACTCAAATGAGTATTGAGGGTGTCTGCACAGATTCTCATTCATTCTGCTTTCCTTCAACATTGCCTGGTTTTTTTCCTGAAGATTATAAACGCAAAGTGGCTGCTTTAGAAGTTGTTAAGAGCCACTTGGATAGTCATGTAGAATCAACTGAGTCTAGGGGAAAGGCAACTAACAGTAGTTGGTCTTCTGACCAGGCTATGTTTAAGTTACTAAATGGCAGGATCATTTCTTGTTCTCTAAATTTCAGAGATGGGATCCATAAGTTTTCTTCCATTCAAGCTGATGGTGCTGACCCAAATGACCATTCTCCATGTAGAGGACCTTTACCAAATCAGACAGGCAGAAGTGTTGGGAAAAGATACAAAGAGGTGACTCAATCAGGTTCTTTTGATATTGCTTCTTCACCTAATGTAGAAATAAGCCCTCCTGTGATGGATTGGGAGGAAAAGTATTTATTTTTCCCTTCAGTGGCTTACTTGACAGTGGCTAATACATGCAATGACAGCATTTTACATGTCTATGAACCATTCAGTACTAACATACAATTCTACCCCTGCAATTTTAGCGAGATTTTGTTAGGACCTGGTGAAGTGGCATCAATTTGTTTTGTCTTTTTACCTAGATGGTTGGGCTTATCATCAGCTCACCTAATTTTGCAGACAAGCTCTGGTGGTTTCCTTGTTCAAGCAAGGGGGTTTGCTGTTGAGTCCCCTTATGGGATTAAGCCTGTAGTAAGCTTGGATGTTCCTTCTAAAGGGCGACTGTCAAAAAGCTTATCTTTGTTTAATCTTCTTGATGAAACCCTTTATGTGGAAGAAACTACAGCATGGATATCAGTTTCTCTAGGGAATACTATCCACCATGCTGAAGCAATATGTAGCGTAGAAAATTTTCAGGGTCATACTGAGCAAAGCTTGCTCAGTGTTGAGAACTGGTTGCTTTTGGAGAGGGGTCCATCTGGTTTTCCACTCATGGCTATGAGGCCCCAGGGAATCTGGGAAGTTAATCCCAGTAGTAGTGAGACAGTCATAGAGTTAGATTTATCTGTTGACTCACAAGCAAAAATTGTTGGTGCTTTCTGTATGCAGTTGTTAAGATCTTCGCAAGATAAGGCTGATATACTTATGGTTCCTCTTGAGGCAGATTTGGAAGGAAACTCTTTCTCTGATGTTGCAGGTTCTGTTTCAGTTTCTCTTGAGGCTCTGATGCCATATGACAGTGAAACTGGTGTTGTGGCCGTGTCTTTAAGAAATGGTGCTCCTGATATGTTAAGTATTGTCAAGATTACTGAACTTGCAGAAACTAAATTTTTCCATATCAAGTACATGGAAGGATTGCTGCTATTTCCTGGTGCTGATACACAGGTTGCTGTGATTACTTGTGCTAAGCTGCCAGTTGAAATGCATGGTTCCCCTCCTGAAGTATCTAATATCATCAGGAATTGTAAATTACTTGTACTGACTAATGACTCAATTAATCCTCAGATAGAGGTTCCTTGTGAGGATGTAACTCACATTTGTCTGAAACACCAAAAAGATTCACCTGTTGGTCATGAATATCAGTCTGAAAAGGTTGAATCTGGAAATATGAAGGGAGGTTCCTTGGATGGTGGCATGCAATGGACATCCTGGGTCAAGGTAAGTTGATTTAAGTTACTCAAATGGTTGATGATTGGTACCAATGAGAGTGGATACTGTTTGTTGCATATATTTGATATTACCTTGATAGCATTTTGATGTCTGCTCTTTTACTGTATAATCAATGTTGTGAGATACTGTTTTATGTTACTGCTAATGATGCTGTATGAAGCAACTGTGTCTAAATATAACATTGATTGTTTAAAACAACCCCCATCAGCCCCACCCCTTTCTCACCAAGTTACAAACGGGAGAAATAAGATTACTTACTCTTACAAGGAAAGAATTAGCTGTTAGGTTCAACATTTAACATATTAAATATATGGTCTTCTGCTCAAGAAGATTCAACAGGGTAAGCTTTGGAGGTTAGATATGCTTACCATTTTTCTTATATGCGGTGATGGAATTTGTAGAGTGAATTGTTGATATAATTATTGGGAAACTTGATGCTATTCTGCAGGCACCTCATTTTACCATTGTCTTATTCTTTTGTTGTTTTTACAGAGATGGTTCATTGTTCCCCTATGGTGCCATTTATGCTGCAATATAGAGCATTACAATCTTTCTAATAATTTCAGTTCCATCATGTTCTTGTTTAAACAAAAATTCATGTCAAACATAACTGCGTGTCTAAGAAGCTCCCATTGCACTATTTTTGTAGGCACTGAGAAGAACAGAAGCCGATGAATTAATCTTGGTCAATTGGAGATCTCAAGGTACTGCTAGTGGCATGTCAGTGCTTGATGATCATGAGGTACTGTTCCCCACGGTCCAAGTTGGAACTTACTTCTCTAAGTGGATCACTGTAAAAAATCCTAGCAAGCGGCCAGTTGTCATGCAGCTCATTCTTAACTCGGGAGAAATTATTGATGAGTGTCAGGGGAATGATGGTTTTATAAAGCCACTTTCATCTGATGATTTTGTTCATACTGAATCTGTGGCAGCAGTAGCAGATGGATTCTCCTTAGCAGAGAGTGCACTCACAGAGGCATATGTTCATCCTCATGGTAGAGCATCCTTTGGGCCAATATTGTTTCACCCTTCAAATCGATGTGGATGGAGAAGCTCAGCATTGATAAGGAACAATCTTTCTGGTGTTGAGTGGATATCTTTGAAGGGATTTGGAGGGTCTTATTCCATACTCCTGCTTGAGGGTTCAGAACCTATCCAGAGTATAGAATTTAATCACAATGTGCCAGTTCCTTTAAACATATCTCTTCTAGACATGTTTTTTCAGATAGAAGAGACCACAAAGGCCTGTAATCAGCCATTTGTAAAAGAGCTGTGTGCCAAGAACACAGGAGACTTACCACTTCATGTTAGAAGCATTGAAGTTTCTGGATCAGAGTGTGGATTGGATGGTTTTATGGTGCAAAATTGTAAAGGGTTTTCTCTTGAACCTGGTGAGTCAACAAAGCTTCTGATTTCATACCAGGCCACTTTTTCTGCAGCTACATTATGTAGGGATCTTGAACTGGCCTTGGCTACTGGAATTCTTGTCATACCCATGAAAGCAAGCCTCCCCGTTTATAAGCTTAATATTTGTAAGAAATCAATATTCTGGATGCGTCTGAAGAAACTATCAATTGCAGTTCTTCTTTGTGCTTCCTTCTTGTTTCTTATATTCTGTTGCATCTTTCCCCAATTGATGGTCTTGGGCTCTCAAGATTGCTTCTATGAGAGTGAGAAAGGCCACATTACCACAATCAGGAATGAAGCAAAATCTTCTCGTATGAATCAGAATCAGAGAAATAATAAGTTTTCTGTATCAGATATGGTTGGTTCGCTAAGTTTGGGTGGGGAGGATAAATTGTCAAAGCAGGCATCTAATGGTAGGCCTCTTAACGGCAACATTGGGGCCTCAGAATTGGGGCTAACTGCTCAGCAAGGAAAACCAACTGGAGAAAATGAGAGTCAAATTAACAGTTTGTTAGAAACTCACAAGGAAGATCCATTGCCATCTTTCCTCCCAAAATCTCAGGCAGCTGAAAATTCTGATACAGTGGAAGTGTCTCAGCCTAGTCATCTGACTATCAGGACAGGGAAGGAGAAGGGAAGAAGGCGAAGGAAGAGAAAGGGTTTGGCTGCAGGATTTACTGGTCTAGTTGAAGTCTCAAGTAGTCAAAGTGGAAATTCTACTCCTTCATCCCCTTTGTCACCTCTGACATCAGTAATACCTAACCGTACATTGTTGTTTACTCCTGATGTGGACCAATCTATTGAGGTTAGATACCCATTTGTGCAATTGGCTGACCAGACTTGTGAGAAGGTTCAGGTTTCTGAAACTCCTTCCAAGGCAAACTCATTGGAGTCCAAGGTATCTGTGAAGAATGGTGATAAGAACTGTTACTTTTCCACTCAAGAGAAGTCTTCAGTGCTAAGTAAAAATGTTACAAAACCTGTTCTATTGCCCTCTTCCACTTCTTCTTGTGCTGATAGGGTTACTCCCAATGTATTCTGCTCCCCTCCTTCAGTTTCAAAATCAACCATTGCTCCCCATGCTCGGGCTCCTGGGTCCAAACTCTGCAACCTGAAAACCATTAAAGCAGAAGGAAAGACAATGTTAAGGAATGAATATACATATGATATTTGGGGTGATCATTTTTCTGGACTCCATGTAACAGGTAGATCAAAGGATGTTTCTATGAATTCCAGTCATAGAGATAATGATTCTGATAGTTTCTTTATAAGGGGTCCGCAAGCCCTCATGACAAAGTCTGAACCAAAAATTGTAAGTTGTCTCCATCAAGAGGGTTAATGATAATTTACTAGTTACCAAATAATTGTTATATTTCTTGCAGACTCCTGGCCTGTACCTAGTTTTTCTGTTAATGTGCAAAGGTGCGAACTTGCGAGCATGCTCCTGTTTAGGCCAGCATACTTGCATCTAAACAGGCATGTCTTGCCTACAGTTACCTTTAATTCCTCCGCATCTTTAGTTAGTTAAGAATTTCAGTCAATTTATTCTTCCATTCTGCTAAACTAATTGATCATATCTTCATCGGTTAGTTTTGTGTTTGTCTTGGTGTGTGTCTTTCTTAACAGGTACAGAGGACATGTTTGCAAGTGTTGGGCACTTTCCATATGTAGTGGGCCTAGCATTTAAAATTTAGATTAGCAAGCCTAAAAATGCACTGCAGAGATATAATAATAGCAAAAACTCATTCAAAAGTTGTAAATTGAAAAGTGGTCTGTGAGGTTTATCCTATACCATCGTAAATTTTCACATTTGTATGCGATGTGCACGGTTAAGATGGATGAATGGATTCTCACAGGTTGGAGACTGTCATGTTAGGATGTGGAAAGTCGGGCATTTTGTCCTCTGTTTTGCCTTTTTATCCCTCATTCATTACTGCTGTCCTCCCTTTTTTTGTTTTCAACCCTCCTTGCTGCTGTGTGGTTGTGCAATGAAAAGTTGAGGTAATTGACATAAAAGTATAGATGAAGATCAAAACTCCATAGACTATCTTCTGATATCATACCCTTGGAAGTCTGAATTCTCTATAGATTCCCTCTATAGATTCCAACTATAACATACCAGAAAGGTACCCCTCATTTTGCCAAGGTGTTGACAATAAGTTTATACTGTTTATTTCTTTAAACATGTCACTGCACTTCATACTGCAATGCCTGCATACTCTTGTGCATGCACCAGGAGTGCTCATGGAATCTCTGATAGATATGCAGTGACAACACCAGCAGCATCCAAAGTGAGTTGAAATGGAATAATGGCAGAGCAACTTCAAAAAATCTTATTCTGTGTGTGCATTTTGTGGGCTGCGCGGTTACGTTTCTTTTGATTTGTTTATTTTATCATTTATGCAATCGTGTTAATATCCATTTTAATATCTCCTATATATCTTTTTTTTGTAAAAGAGTATAAACAATCTGCATCATTTATGAATGATGGGCACCGTGAGGTGCTTTGAGTCCTTTGACCAAGGGGAAGCTTTGTAACTTTGTACACAGGAATAATGGGGCCGCAGTCTGGCGATCTACCGAATTGGATGGAATGGGTGTTCTGCACTGCACAGGGACATGCTCATTTCCTTCCTGCCTCTACTGTGAATAAGTCTGCTTGTAACACTAAAAGTAGATCTCTAGCAATTGCGCCATTTTTTTTTTTTTTCTTTAAAAAAAAATTTTTTTACTGTATTTTTTTGTACTCAAATCTCAAATGTTATAAATTAAATTATAAATATATAACTAAAAGTATAAATAATCTTACCATTAGATTTACAATATGTTTTATAAAAATGTTTCTGCATCAAATCATTGAGGGTTTTCTCATATTTGTCCTCCTATTTGGGAACCTCATCCGATGGAGATTGTTTGATACTTTGATGTCAAATTTAGTCCCTAAACTAATATGCATTACATAATTTTAGTCCCTTAATTTTTGTTTTATGCACATTCTTCATATCATTAAAAGAAATTAAAAAAATACCAGGAGGAAAGACTTAAGTACTCGACGTCCACCAAAAAGTGCATTTATCATAATTAAGGGATGAAAAAAAGGATAAAAATAGTTTAGAGACTAATTGTTCAAACTTAAAAGTTTAAGAACTAAATTTGACATTTAACCAAAGTGATTTTATCTATTTGTAACAACTACCTAAGACAGGTCTCTGCCTCGAATGAGAATTAGTTGATATGATTTATTGACATAGATTGCAAACATGGAAGAGTAACAGGAGCCATAGGGAATTGGGTTTGGTGCAACTAGTAAGGAGAATAACTGTTTCTGTAAGTGAAGGTTGCCTAAGCAGTGCGGTATTAAAGTTCAAGGTGTATACTCAAGGTCCAAACCTGTTGCAGTGAAATCACCTCTAAATTATGAAGTTCTGAACATTTGTGCCCTTCATGGCTTCATGGACTGTGTAATGATTCTTAATATCTTAAGAATTGCAAAGGTTTTAGTTTGTAAATAGAATAAATGTATGAGCATGGTGAGGATTTTATACCAGTATCTAAAAATGTTTTGATGAAATGCAAGTTTTCTACCATGCAAAACTTTAAAATATGCAAGTATATATGATAGGTAGTAGGCCACATTTGTTCATACTTTGTGTTAGCTGCACTGAGTCACTGACATTTCCTTTTTATTGCAGCTGAATGTTTATTGCAGAAATTATGAACTTGTCGTTTATCATTGGGCACGCCTGCCTGCAGCAGCAGAACTGAATAGAATTGTTATTGCCATGGTATGCACTACTTTTTAGTCTATTTTTGCAGCATTTGTGTATCCTGATAATTCTATTCTATGACACTGATGCAGATGAAGATAAGGTGGGATTTTCCACTTGTGAGGAAACTGAATGATGTTGACAAGAGAGGAGAAATGGTTGTGACTAGCCGGCCATTGAGGTAAGACAAAGAACATGAGGCTTGTGAACCATCTTATATTTCTTTGCCACTCTTTTGGGGACCAAGTTCGTTTTTTCTTGAAAAAGCTGGCAAAGCCAATCTGTAGACATCGCCAACCTAACAACAAAATGTCAAAATTCAATTTCCAAATCATCAAACCCTGCCATTGTCTCATTTTCCTTTTATATCACTGCCTTCCTTGATAGTTTTAGCTTCCAAATCTCATGCATATACATGAGATAGAATTGCAGAAGCAGAACTAATTCTGTGGGGAAAATGGTCCTCCAGTCCAGTCCATCGGTAGAGACAGGCAAACGGGGACCTCCGGCATCGATGGTGGTCCTTTCTTAGCTTCCAATTGGACCACTTCTATAGCAAAAATGGTTCGTGACTGCTTACTTGATTTAGGGACCTCCGATCATAAGGTTAGTAGGAGATGGCTGCTTGGTGAAAGTACAAACAGATATAGGGGAGGTGAACATTAATACAGGTTTCTCTATACTTGGCACTGCCGTAAAAGGTCAAGATCTTTTTCCTTTGATATAGCGATTTAGAGCCTAATATCACAACTTCAGTGGGTGTCCTGCTTGTAGGAAGCTTTCTTTGAATCAATAATGATGCCCCATGGATATCTGTTTCTTCTCTCTTAATAATTCCCATTACCTCTGAGGAAATCACTTGCATTGCAGGGGAATTCACATTCATGGCACTCATATTTTTGATACAATACATATTTTTACTAAAATTTCGTAACTTGCTTGTATGATATTATTGTATGTAGATGACCAATAATTTAAGCAACTCAATGATAATCTCTTTTCAATAGAAGTTTTGAATTTAAGTTGTATAATATATAAGTAGAGTATGTTAAAAAAAGAGAAAAAATTATGTTCTATTATGCAAATAATAATAATAATAATAATAATAATAATAAAGAAACAACAACAATGACAACAACAACTTTTGTAATGGGAGACAAAATTAAATTCTGGAGGGACAAGTGGGTAGGAACCAAATCTCTAAGTGTATCCTTTCCTAGACTCTTAACAGGACACTTCTCTAATGGTTCTTGGAGTTTGGAATATATTTGGAGACCTGAACCATTTGGCAGGGAAAGGAATGAAGAACAAAGGTTAAATTAGATCCTCTAGGGTGAGGTAGTGCTATCCTCTCAACCGGACCATAGAAGTTGGAGCTATGATACTGGAAATGGATATACAGTTGGAAAGGCCTACTCGTTGATTGCTAGTAAGAATGTAATTTTAAAACCACGAATTTGCAAAAGGCTATGGGGCAAATTGATTCCATCAAAGATCAGTTGCTTTGGGTGATGCCTCCTCCTTAACAATCTACCAACAAAATTAGGCCTTATAAAAAGGGTATCCAGCTTGAAGAGCTAGAGACATATGTGTTGCATTTGGAGGAGGGAGCTTGAGGACGATAACCATTTGTTTATTCAATGTTCAAAGATTCAAGGACTATGGATGAGATGCTACAAATGGTGGGGGCTTTCCCTTTTCCTCCCCAATACAATTTCTCTCCTATGTGAAGCTCATTGTACAAGGATCAAAAAGCTGGTCAAATCTGATGTTTGGTTCCTAATTTTCTTGGTGATTACATGGTCCATATGGTACACAAGGAATTCTATTATTCATCACTCACAACAATGGGACAAAGACAAAACTTTTGATTTAATCCAAAGGAGAACTTTTACATGGATTAGGGGGAGATCTGCTAAGGCTGTTTTTCCATTTTTTTGCTGGTGTAATTCCCCCAATTTATGTGTTCAAGAAATTACTAAAGATTAGACTTCTCATCCATATTATAAGTCCTCCTTATTGTTGTTGGAATATCTTCGTAAGTGTTCCTTTTGTAATGCATACTTGAGATTATGGGTGGAGTACCCTTGTACTCCTTATCATAATAAATCATTTTGATTCATCTAAAAAAAAAAGAAAAACCAACAACTTTTATATACGGTTGAGTCATATGACCTTGTATGATAACTTTGAATGCTACCCTTGTTCGTATAAATTGGTTCTTGTCCTCTGTCATTTATGGCATTATACTGCAAATTCATGACCCATGGATAGACTCATGGTACATATCAGTTCAGTTGCTTAACTCTCAATGGTATTCTACACGGATTGAAATTAAGCTTGCATGACAGTGCTTTGGTACAAGGGTGTGGTTAGCTGACAAAACTGAAATTAACTAACTGATTAGTTTGATTCAATTGATTGATCCCAGTTGGTTAACCGAGAATGTAATCACAATAATATTCTGTCAGCTGTGGCCTTGATTGTAGGTGAACCAGTTTAATTTAATACTCGGTTAACCGAATGAAATAGAATTATTGGATTGTTCAATTAATTAGTTGTTGAAATGAAGATGAATCAACCAAAGATTAAACCATTAACTGATCACAATTTTGGTTGTAGGCAAATTGTTTAACCGACATTGTCATTTTAGTTGGCATTTAACCGACGGAACCGATGTCTAACCAAAATGGGCAAGGACTTTCCAAACTTAGTAAATATAGCACCACAGAGAAAGAGGGACCTCCCTAAATGTAAACCCTGCTTCACTTCTCCCACATTTATTTACCAGCATGCAATCATTTTATCTCCTCTTTATATTTCCAAATGGTCATGTGAGTGAGCTGTTGCTCGGAAAGGGAATAGTCATTGGCCCTCTTAAGTATATGGCCTTTGTTTCTCATAGAACTAAGGGGCACTTTACTACCAAAAGCATCTTGGATATTCTAAGGGCAAATTTTTGAGTTGAAGCAAATCACCATATTAAAATTTAATTTTAAAGAAATTAGTGTAAATTTAATAGTGCAATTATTTTATTTTTGTTAAACTATTGCTTTTAGAGTAATAGAAAGTAAATATCAACGGTTAAATTAGGGTCAATTTTTCTAAAATGAAATTTGGAATGGCAATTTGCTTCAATTTTTTTTTATTAATTACTAATTTACTGTATCTCAAAAATGTTGGGAGGCATTTTGCAAATTTTGCCTATTTTGAGCAAGTGATCTTTAACTTCAGACAGTCAAGTTCCAAGGAAAAAAAAAAAAAAGAACAATCAACCAATCTATTATGAAAAATGTATTATACAATTTGGACTATATTAAACTGTATAACTTAAATTATTACATTTTTAATATTGGGAGTTATTATCCAATTTAATAATTTTTATTTTAAAATTTAAATTACAAAACAGAAACTCATCTTTATACTAATATTATAAAAAAAAAAAGGTTCCCACTATTATGCTGATGCTGGTTCGCAAATGCGTGGCCAAGAATAGATGAGAAGCTTTTCTTTGCATGTGGATTTGCCTCTGCTCTTCCTTTTTTCATAGATTGCATCAAAAGATTACTCATTTGTTCCACTTTTTCCCTTTTGGCCTCACGCATTGCTATCAGACCCAAAATTCTAAGTTGGGCACACACCACGCCCCATCATTGGGACCACTAGTTAACATAATGAAGTGGCAGCTTGGGACCATTTTTTGAATGATTTACTTACTGGTCCTTTTCTCTCGTTATATATCTTTAACCTTTTATATTGACAAATACCCCTGATATCTCCATTCTCTATATAAGGGATTGTTCTGCAGCTCAACAATAGCAAGAGAAACACATTTTGATATTACTATATTTGCTTTATATATACTACGTAATGTCTTATCTATCCTAGTAGCCTTAATGCTTAGATTTGACACCTTTTTCGCTTGTTTTATACGGTTTTGATACTTTATAGCTTGATTAAGATTGGGACTATCTTTACTTTTATGTCTATGTATTAACTCTCTAACAATTAGCTAGGCCTACTACCTATCCCATCCTACTTCCTACTTAAGAAGTGGATATAGGATTTTATGGCTTGGTGGAGCCATGGACGAACATTCATGGAATGATTTCACTGGCATGACGCATGCCTTGCTTTTGATTATATCACAAACAAGGCACCCTCTAAAGTCCAATGCAGACAAAACCAAATGTTTCCCCACTGAACCATGAACTCCCAAGGAAGTAACAAACAGTAAAAGACATGATGTGATTCAGACAATCCAATACAAGTAAACCAAATATAATTAATGATCTATAAATTAAGAAGCTATCATTTTAAAAAAAAAATTGTCCTTAATGGTTTAATTGTATTTTAAAAGGTCTCAAATTCAAACATTTAAAAAGATAAAGAAAAATTTAGAAAGATAACGGGTCATGCGCTGTTGTATAACCATATACAATCTCTTATTAAGAAAAGGATTAGGTAAGTTCGAGTCCTCACATGATAGCTAGAGACCACTTGCTTTCTTTCCCGACAAAAAGGCCACATATATAATCATGATGGACGAGCATAGATGGACTGTATTCAGCATGGCGTTAGAGAAAGAGGGAGGGAACAGGTTTGGTGGAGTGTCCATTTAAGCGTTTAAAATTGAAGAGATATCATGTGCATTAGAAAAAAATTTGCAGGCTCACGTGTTTTAAATAATTAAATAGGTAAGAGTATGGTGGAGTGGAGTCCATGCATCTAATCTATAACTTATCTTGTTTCACAATCTCAATATATAGATTAAGATATAATGCATTGGGAATGAGTCTCTAAAGTTTACTTTAAGCCGCTTTTGCTTCAAACAATCAATTATGGTCCGTGAAATGTAAAAATTGTTTATATGGGTTTTAACACAAAACTTGTATTCAACTTAAAATTAATATATGTCTCCTTATGTGTAAGCCAAATATGAATGCCAATCTCCCCCTTTTCGCATTCAATACGTCCCCTCACATATGTAACTTAATGGTTCTATTAGGTGGGCTAAGTTTCTTAGGATGGAACTAGTGTTCTGATACTATGTGAAAATTATATATATAGGTTTCAACACAAGGGTTGCATCTAACATAAAAATAATTGATAATAGATGAAATAACCTTTCTTATACTGTAACATTTCTTATATTTAACCTACAAGTTTCTACTATCGACGTGGGATTTTTTCACTTAAAATTGAATTTTTGTTAGCTTGAATGTTTTAAGGCTAACCCCATAAGTATCTTATAAAGACTTGAAGTGACATAAAAGAACAATGCAAAGCAAATTTTACCCAAGATGAAATTAGGCTTAATTACTGAAAATTTAAAGGGTACTATTTTTTGTTGTATAATTTATTATTATGTAAAAAATGTTATATTAACAAGATTTGTAATATTGCAAGCACTTTATTTTCATGATAAAAATTTAACATTGAAACACTATGTATGGAAGGTATGAACCCCCTAAACAAGAATTCTTGAACAGCAAACAATCCGAGCTATTACTCACAACAACAAAAAATTTCCATTCAATGGAAAATCAAAGTACTCTTTGGAAGTAAATTGATAATGATGTTTTAATGATAAGAGTATATGAATGGTGGTGCATGGTGTTAAAGGGTGTAGAGGTCCCTATTTGCCTCATCATTTAATTTGCATGTTAGCTTTGCTTGCTCACAAAGGGATTTTATGCCACCATTTTAATGAATCTAATCAATTAGAATTGTACTCTCATACGTACGCTGTTGCCATTACTAGTCACACATGCCCACTTCACCTTTCACCGTTCCATTCAGCTCTATATAGAAAGTCACCCATAAATACACGTATTGAAATCTTGGCTACTTAAACTCACAATGTTAAAACTCTTTATTTTTTCTTTTATAATCTATAGTAGAGAATAATCTTTCCCTTTTCAAATTCCTACCCACACGTCCCAAGATTCAAATTAACTACTTAAATTACAGTGCACTAAGTACTCTAGAGGCTCTTATGCATCACAATGCTCCTTAGATAATTAATAAGTCAACAATAATATGCCACCCTAGTCGAGATTTCTACTAAAAATTGTTAGTTCACGCGTATTTACTTCATTTATTAATTTGTTGTTTGTTGTGTAAAACAAGAATATGTGCATAAATTTAGATTAATTAAGGAAAGGTTAATCTAAATTATTTTTAAATTTATTTCATTTATATTTAAATAATGCAAAATATAAACAGAAGTGTTTTTTTACTGTTTGTCTTGCACCTAAAAACATTAATTTATGGTCAAAAAAGGTGAAACTTTCTTTAATGGAATCCATGATGCATAGAGATTCATTAATGGTACTTTAAGTGCAATTCATCTAAAAATATAAAAGATTACATAAAATAAAGATATCTTAATAATTAAAATATAAAAATATTGTTTATCCGTTTTACCTCCTAAAAATTATGAGGAATATTATTTCAAAATTAAATTATTTTAATAAATACGTATTGAAAAAAATTAAAATATTATATTTGTAAAGTATAAATTAAGGTGTTTTTTATCATTTTTTTCTTAATTTTTTAAAAATAAAACAAACAAATACTAATCTAGTAAAATATTATAAATAATAATTA